TCATTTATAGCTTATATTTAAAAGAAAAAAAAATAAATTGAACCAAATTGAATCTTTTTAATAGAAAAAACATGGCTAATAGTTTTCTATCATAAAAGTCTTACAAGGAGAAAGGGGCGAGTGGGGGGGATGATAAGAAAAGCCATAAAATCATAAGAAAAGAGCTTTCATCGCTCATACTTTGCCGTAAATCTAATCTAGATTCCTTTTATTTCGATGGACGGAACATTTTAAAGATCCAACATAAAAACAGTCAATTCGACATTCAATTTCGTTTCGCGAGGAGAAGTAAATTGAAATTTTTCAATTTAAGGTTGTTTTTCATCTTTATGCGAAATTAAAATGTATAAACATCATAATGATTCAATGAGTGAGTGTGTGTTAATTTTAATCCAGAATTTTCGAAAAGAAAAACATGAAAGAATGTGAGAAAATAACTTCACATTTATAAGGAGGTAAAAATTACTTTTTGTACATCAATATATTTTTTTTATGTTTTTATTTGCAATTTCCATCGCCACTGAGGAATTTCAATGTGTTGCTTTACCTTTCAGCCCCACCTGATCTCGTGTTCGCGGTTCAAACTTTCTTTAAAAGCCTTCGGGGCCAATTCGTGACGAGATTCCGATTTCCCCGTAGAATTAATGCTACTTCGATTTCATCGTGTTCCAACTGCTACGGCTATCTTTCCTTCCCGCAAGTAATCCTTCATTTCAACGACGACGCCAAAGTCGATGTCATGGAATTTACAGACAGTGAGGAGGGAACTTCAATTTTTCTCATATCACGAAAGTCAAACAGAACTATACGAATGGAGATTGAAAATTGGTTTCAATTTTCTCCCGGTGTGTCGCTTTATTCAAGAAACTTATATACCTTCTCGTCAAAAAAAAAAAAAATTCCGACCAAAAAAATAAATACAAAAAGAAATAAAATAAATAAAAAATATAGAAAGAAAATAAAAAATAAATTAAAAAAAGAAAGGAGATAAATAAACAGTAAATTAAAAAATATAAGAAGAAAATAAAAAATAAATTAATAAATAAATAAAAATAAAGGAAGAAAATAAATCAAAAATAAATTTAAAAATAAAGAAAGAAAATAAAAAAAATAATTTAAAAAATAAAATAAAGAAATTAAAAATTCACGGGATATCAAAATTGGAAATTCTCGAAATATGTTTAAAATTATAATGAAACTTAATATTATATTAATTGTCTACACTTAAAATTTACCTTTTTTTTCCTCCCCGGAAAAATTTCTTTTTTAAACTAATTATCTCCCTCGATTATTTATGCAGTTAATTTTCTAAAGAGTCGGATGCAAAATTCATGCACAGTGGAAATTATGATGAAGTAGAACAGGCATTATTTGTTACAAAAGCTTGACGTCATTTAAACGTCAAAATTAATTAGTATAAAGTCAACGAGAAAATTTCAGCTAGAGCTGGCAAACAAGTAATTAACTGCACAATATCAAAATCAGGTGAAAATTATATACAAAATTTTCGCAACCCACGCGCAAATTTTATATTTATACTTTATTCAAATATTTAACCTGTGGATTTTTATAATTTTTCTGGTTACAAAATTATGCCAAAAAAAAAGAGAAAAATATACCTAATCAAATTTTTCTATCCCCCAGTCACGAAGTTTATTTTATTAATTTATGTTTATTGAGGGCTCGAACCAGTGAAAGTATTTTATTATTTATAGATATGAAAAATAAAAAGAAAAGTAATCAAAATAGTAGTTTAATCGTTGAAATTCGAATTCCCTTAAAAAGGTTCCTCGAAAAGTGCTCCTATAAATTTCCGTCAGAATTTATGTTGGAATTTCGTTTCGATTTGAAATTTTGAAGTATATCAGAATTCCAATGGAATTTCCAAGAGGCTGACGAAAATTCCAGGAGCGTTTTCTAAAGAATCTTTTCGCACGTGGGATGCGAGAGAGAAATATTTATTTATTTATTTACACTATAAAATTATAATAAATAAAAGAATCAGTAGAAAAAGTTTCAATCGCGCTCTATTAATTGCTGGTTAATAAATAATTTTAAATAGTTGTATTTACAATTATAAATAATTAAAAATTATTATAAATAATTATAAATAATTTTAAATAATTATAAATAATTATAAATAATTAATAAGAAAAGGGCAAAAGAGGAGGAAGAAAAATGCCTTTCGAAAAAAAATTGCAAGGGCAACATTTTGAAGGGACAACGAAGGCAATTGACAGTTAATGTGATTCCTTCCCTAGAGACAGTAAATGGAAAGTCTCGAAAAGATATCAAAGAAGGTAAAGACATTCTTGTGTCGATAAAAGAAAATCAGATTCGCGATAACAACTTTCCGCTAACACTTTCAACAGTCATTTCCCTCAAATCGTTTTTTATCCTCTTTATAAACCCCACCCATCTGTTCCTCGTACTTTTCTTTAGTGACAAACCCGTTCAGTTTGCTTTAACCTTATGTACCCTCCCGGTTCCCTTTGTCTCACATCTAACTCACTACCGTTTCTATTTTCCATTTTTTTTTCTTCTCATTTTCCTACATTATTTCTTTTTGTTCCCATTCTCCTACATTATTTTTTTTGTTCCCATTTTCCCACTTTTTTTTCCTTCTCATTTTCATACATTATTTTTTTCCCCCTTCTTTTCAATATAAATCCCTTGGTACCTTTTCCTAATTACTTCCTGCTAGTAATACTTTCATTTCCTCTCGCTTCTTTCAACGAAATAACGTGTCTCATCCTTTCGCCAAGTATCTCTTCTTCAACTATTAAACCCCCACCCCCCTCCTTATTTTGCCCCCAAGCACCTGGTACTTCGCCTTTGTTCTATTATAGTTATAATTTATATTGCCTTCATTATATCGCCATTAAGCAACCTTTATGGTTCAATCGATGTTGTGTGTTCGAGGAATTTATTATCACTTCAAAAGCTTATTGGATACCGTAAATAAAACCCCTCGACTAATAGTTGTGGTAAGACATGACAATATTTATATTTGAAAATAAACGACTTATTTCGAGTACCTATGGGGATTTTTCATAATTTAGAACAAAACAAGTTTACATGTTGAAAATATTAAAAATCATAAAAAAACATTGTCAAATATTAATCCTAGCCTTTACTCGAAATGAGAAGAAAGTTAGGGAAAGAGTCAAGCTTCACTTTGGTACAAACTGGAACTTAATATCTTGCAGACAAGAAAAGTTATGGCCATTCGAATCGAAACAAGTTTACATGTTGAAAATATCAAATTTCTAAAATCATAAAAATCGTTCTTAAATATTTATCCTAGCTTATAGTCGTAATGAGAAGAAAGTTACAGAAAGAGTCAAGCTTCATTTTGGTACCAACCGGAAGTTGATATCTTGCAGACAAGAAAAGTTATGGCCATTTGAATCGAACAAGTTTACATGTTGAAAATATCAAATTTCTGAAATCATAAATACATTGTCAACAACGAATTTTATTAAAATTTTTGAAAATAATTTCTGTACTTTTTCTCCAAAAATTATAAAATTTTTTGCTTCTTAGGTACCTTATTTGGGAGAGCGTCGCATTTATATATATATATTTTTTTTTACTAAAGTCATTAATATTACTATAATATTAATTAAGAAATGTGCAGCGCAAAATTTAAATTGAATATAGTAAAAAAAATTTTCAGTAAAAAAATAACTCGAATCGAAAACAAAAATAACAAAAACAATCGAAAAATAAAAATTTATGAATGAACGCCAAAGGGCATATCGAAGTAGTACGACACGCTTAATCGAGAGCGATGTAAAATTACAGAATTGATTGTTAGTGACTTTTGAAGTAAACCACGAGAAAATTTCTGACAACGTAGAACCGTCATTTTCGTCACGTTTGACGAGGGGGAAGGATAAACTGTAACTACAAGAGAAGCGTCATTTTCTTTTTTTGTCTTTTTTTTTTTTTTTTGCTAGAGTTCAAAATGACATGAGATGACAGGTGAACAATGATTTTCAACCCTTCACCCTTCGGTGGTAACAATTTCGCTTTTCCCTATTAACAATGATGGCTTGCAAATTTTCCCAATATGATCCTCTACTGTTCATATCCTGACGTAATATCAATTGTAAATCCTGAACCATCCTCTCTCCCTTTCTCTTTCCCTCAATCAATTTTCAATTTTGACACACTCTATACTTGCAATATCGACTGAAATGCAATAAAGTGAACTAATCAATCTTTACAGTTTTTTTTATTGTAAGCGCGTCTGAAACTCAATATTTAAAAATTGAAATACTTTCCTTTTAAATTTAAATTAGATTTTTGATCTATTCTTCATTTTTTTTTAATTTATCACCATTGGCTAATTAAAAATATATTTTTAAATAAATCCTTCCTCTATGATCAAGAAATATAATAATTAAACTATTAACTAAATTTAGAATTTATTTTTCTTTCATTGAGTTTAAAAACTTTTAATTTATACCACGATGATCATAAAATATCATACTTTAGTTTCCCAGTTTTCTTGAAAGTATAAAATTGATACTAAACTGTATCAAACTGATAGCAACAATTTAGATCAATTTCTGATTTTATTAATTTTTTTTTATATCAATTCGTTACAATTTGATACTTTTAAGTTAACAGTAAATTTTTAATACTTCTTATTTCTTTGTTTTTAATTTTATTTTAAACAAATTTAATTTAGTTTAATTGAAAGTTTTAACTAAAATAATTAAAAATTTCGTTAATTAAAATCTATTTCGGATAAAAAATTTTTTCCGTGTGAAAATGATTATTGAATACTGTTTGAAGATCTATATTTAAAATTTTTTATATAAATTGAATACAAAGAAGAACTTTCTTCAGTAGAAGATATCAAAATAAATTACCAAAAACTGATAGCAATATATTGAACAGAGAGGCTCTGTATTTTTATCTCTATAGATATACAAACCGATGGAAATATAAATACTAAATTTAAGAACTGAAACTCAGTGTCTCCCTAACTTTCGATCAGTTCAGAAGATTTTGATTTCAATAAAGGAAATATATGTAAGTAGTTCAAATTTTACTTTTTTAAATTAAAAAAATTTTTTGTTCAGTTTCAATTACAGATGTTAATAATAAGTATTTAAGGAGGATTACTTTTATATTTTAATATTTTTCTATACTTCAAATAAAAAAAAAGTCTTCTATAATTAAAAATTTTAAATGAAAAAGTACAAGAAATAAACAAAAAACAAAAAAATAGGCAAATAAGAAGCATAACAAAATTTCAGCAAAAGCGTAATTTTTTTTGTATTTTAAATAGAAAAATAGAAAAGAAAAAAAGAAAATATAACATGGTTTAAAAAAATAAAATATAAAAAAAATGTTCAAAAGTATTTTGTTTTCAGATTGCTTCAAAAATGAAATTTTTCATCATTTTTGGGATTTTAATTGCAATTGAAAAAGCTCGATCGCAATTCGACGACTATTATGATGATTATACAACTAACCGTCATCACTACAAGAGGATAATGCCAACTGTAAATTACCATGAAGAAACAACTGAAAACTCAGATGTTGAAACAACAACTCCATATAATGAAGAAGCAGAGAGAAGAAAAAAAGAAGTTCTCCCCCTACCATTTGGTGATTGTGACGAAACAAAAAATCTTATTTCATTAAATTTATCATACACCGGAATGACAAAAATTAATAGCGAATTTATAAAAAATACACAAGTAAGTTGTTTAAATTTTTCCAAAAATAACATCAATTTTATCGCTGAAACATTTCTCGAGAATTTGCCAAATTTAACCGTTCTGAATCTTGGACACAATGAAATAAATTTAGAAAATCTAAATCTTAATTCAAATTCAAAAAATCTTCAATTAAAGACACTTATTCTTGACAATAATCCAGTAAGTGACGAAACAAAATTAATTTTCAATGGTTGTTTTAATAATTTGGAAATTCTGTCAATTCGACAAACAAAATTAAATGCTCTATCAAGCACATGTGATTTGGAAAATTTAAGATATTTATACCTCTCTTACAATTATATTCGTACTGAAGCTGATATTTTTCATAGTGAAAATTATTTTAAACTCTCGCATCTCTATGTTGATAACAATATAATTTCAACTTTCAATGGTACACAATTTTCCAATCTCGAATTTCTACAATTAGACAACAATTTAATTGAAATTTTGTGCAATAGACATTGTAGTGGTATAAGTAATGGTTTATCTTTAGGTAAAATGACAAATTTGAGACATCTCTCTTTAGCTGATAATAGAATAACAAATGTTCATTCAGATACATTTTTCGATACAATTTACCTCGAAACTCTTGATCTTTCAAAAAATTATATTTCCAAAATTGCCAATGATACATTCGAAAGACTCAAGTTTCTTACAGTTTTAATGCTCAATTCCAATCGTCTAACGATTTTACCCAATTTTTATGAATGTTCAAAAATTGAAATTTTAAATTTCAGCGCTAATTGGCTTGAAAATATTAACAGTAAACAATTTTTCAATTTACGATCATTAAAAAGTTTATCATTAAACAATAATAAAATAAAGAACATAGAAAAATTCGCATTTACAAATCTAACATCATTAAATGAACTCGATTTATCAAACAATAAACTTGAAAGTCTACCGGAAAATTGGATCACGCCGCAAAATGTACTCAGAATTTTGAATGTAAGCGAAAATTATTTTACAAATTTCAATCAATTGAATCTTAATAATGCGTCAAATTTGGAAAAAATATTTCTTCGCGAGAATGCAATAGAGAATTTAAATATTATGTCATTTGTACATATTGCGAAAAATGCAACTCTGTATATTGAGAATCAATCGAAAAGTCGATTGTAAGAAAACAAATTGAAAAAAATGGAAATGAAAACAAAATATTTTTTCTTTAACAAAACAATTAATTTTAAACAAAATAATTTTTTAACAATAACTCAATGTATTGTCATTTATGTTAATTCACGTATTGATTAAGATAAAAAAATAAATTTCAAATGAAGAATGTATGTTAATTTAAACCGTCGAACTTTAAAGATGAGAATTCAGTAAATTTTTAACTATAATTTTAATTGAAATTGAATTAATATTTAATTTAATTTAATTCAAATTAATTTAACTTTATTCAATTTAATTCAATTTACTTCGATTTAATTTGATTTAATTCAATTTACTTCGATTTAATTCGATTTAATTCGATTAAATTCAATTTTATTCAACTTTATTCAATTTTATTCAATTTAATTGAATTTAATTCAATTTAGTTTAATTTAATTTGATTTAATTTAATTTAATTCGATTTAATAAATATTTAGTGAATATTTAATTAAATTTAATGAAATATATAATTAAAAAAAACAATTAGAATAAGGATTTTAAATTCAGATTCTACTCTTTAATTTACAGTATATTTTTAAATTGAATCATTTTTAATTAAGGAACCAATTTTGTAAGCGCATTATAATAATTATTAATAAAATTTCGATTTATTTACCCACCGAGATAGGGCCAATGTTACTGACAATATTTGCGTTCACGTCTGGAATCTGAAACATAAACAAATATTTGTTCATTAATTTTAATTAAAAAATTGTTATTTCAATGAATTGCCATTAATAATTACTAACAAATAGTCATAGGATTATATTAGATGTAAGAAGGAAATCAAAATAAAAAAATGTCGACGAGCTTTTCTACTTTTATAAGTGAATGAAATCATTTCTTTTATCAGCAAATAAATATATTAATGCCAAATTCAAACTAAATATAACTGAAAATTTTTTATTTCAAAAATTTTTTTAAATTAAAAATTGAATATAAAAATTAAATCTAAATATAAAATTGTTACAATCATTTTACAAAAACCTTTCTATTATTTATTCATTTTAATTTAATGCAAAATTTCTTCTTGGTATCAAAGTACCAATAACAAACAATAATTAAAAACATATTTTTCATAATTAATTCTTAAAAATCCTTGTAAATACAATAAAAATGTAAAGCGTTGTAAAGTCATGAAATGCTAATCAAAAATTTACTTTGGACGAACAAAAAAAAATTAAAAAAAAAATTGGATGATCAAACTTGTAAATATTATTATTTATTAAATAATGGGGGGTTGGCTCACAATTCCCCAATCTCCCCTAGAATTACTTTTATATTTTATCACTTTCCTATTGAAATAAAAAAAAATAATAGTCTTCTATAATTTGTGACGACCCAGGTCGACCCACCATTTATTTTTAAAAGTAATGTTGTCGATGACTTCTTCCATATTTGAATCTTGAACATTCACGCGCTAATCCGTAAAAACGCCAAAAGGCTGCGCACATGCTACCACGAGCAGACGACAAAACCAGAGTTAAGGAAGCTACCGGCAGAATCTCCTGCTGCGTCACGATCTGTTTGCGCGTCTATTTTGTACCAATTATCAGTTCTTTGATTAAAAATCATTAAAATTGATTAAAAATAAAAACGGATGTAAAACTCGCCAAACAAAAATCATTCTTGTTAATTAGTTATTTAAATTAATTATTTCTGCGTGTATGGTGGTTTTTATTATTCAATTGGATTAATTCTCAAGGTCCACGCTGGTGAGATACTTCCAGAGAACTATGCATCGGCCGGTAAGTCCGCTGATTCTTTTCTAAAAAAAATTAATTTTCTAAAAAGTTCTTAGACAATTTTCAAAATCCATTCATTTACAATATGCAATTTTACAAATTTCCATTATTCGTAAATTATTCAATTAAATATATTTTAGAAAATAAAAACTTAAAATAATATTTTAAAAAAATTGAATTACACTTTTTCAAAAAAATTAATTTCAAAATTCAATAATTTCTAAAAATTCATGCTATATTTCTTTTAATATTCAATTATTATCTAAAATTTTAACTGAAATTTAGTTTTATGAAATGAAAATCAATTTTTATTAGAAAATTCTACTAGAATTCAATTATTTAAATAATTCCTGTGAAATTTTTATTATTTATGAAAATATGGAAATTTTTTTGTAGAATTTTATTCTAATTTCGTTGTAATAATTGAATTCTTTGGGAAAATTTTGTTAAAATTTTTGAAAATAATTGAATTTTAGAGAAGAATTTTATTATTTATAAAGATAATTGAAATTTTAACGATAATTTTATAAAATTTTTGAGAAAAATAGAAACTCTGCGAAGAATTTTATTACTTATGAAATTAATTGAATTTCTGCAATCTTTTGTAACTTTTCATAAATTCAATTTTTTTAGTGTTTTTAACTAAAATTCTTCCATTATTTTTAATAATTAATTAAATAAATATTAAAAAATGTAACTAATTTCAGAAGAATTGTAAATTATTAGTCTCTTACAATTAAAATGAAAAAGTACAAAAAATAAATAAAAAAATAAGCAAACAAAAGAAAAAAGAATGTTCAAAAGTATTTTGTTTTCAGATTGCTTCAAAAATGAAATTTTTCATCATTTTTGGAATTTTAATTGCAATTGGAAAAGCAGGATCGCAATTCGAGGAATATTATAATGATTATACAACTCAACGTCATTTCTACGTTTGGCACACGCCAACTTCAAATTACCATGAAAAAACAACTGAAAACTCAGATGTTGAAACAACAACTCCATATAATGAAGAATCAGAGGACAATATAGAAGTTCTCCCCCTTCCATTTGGTGATTGTGACGAAACAAAAAATCTTATTTCATTAAATTTATCATACACCGGAATGACAAAAATTAATAGCGAATTTATAAAAAATACACAAGTAAATTGTTTAAATTTTTCCAAAAATAACATCAATTTTATCGCTGAAACATTTCTCGAGAATTTGCCAAATTTAACTGTTCTGAATCTTGGACACAATAAAATAAATTTAGAAAATCTAAATCTCAATTCAAATTCAAAAAATCTTCAATTAAAGACACTTATTCTTGACAATAATCCAATAAATATTATAAAAGAATTAATTTTCAATGGTTGTTTTAATAATTTGGAAATTTTGTCAATTCGACAAACACTATTAAATGGTCTATCAAGCACATGTGATTTGAAAAATTTAAAATATTTATATCTCACCGACAATTATATTTATAACGAAGAAGATATTTTTCATGGTGAAAATTATTTCAAACTCTCGCATCTCTATGTTGATAACAATATAATTTCAACTTTCAATGGTACACAATTTTCCAATCTCGAATTGCTACAATTAGACAACAATAACATTCGAATTTTGTGTAATAGTCATTGTAATGATGTAGGTGGTGGTTTGTATTTAGGTAAAATGACAAATTTGAAACATCTCTTTTTAGCTGGAGATAACATAAAAATTGTTCTTTCAGATGCATTTTTCGATACAATTCATCTGGAAACTCTTGATCTTTCAAGAAATTATATTTCCAAAATTGCCAATGATACATTCAAAAGACTCAAGTTTCTTAAAGTGTTAATGCTCAATTCCAATCGTCTAACGATTTTACCCAATTTTTATGAATGTTCAAAAATCGAAATTTTAAATTTCAACACTAATTGGCTTAAAAATATTACTAGTAAACAATTTTTCAATTTACGCTCATTAAAAAGTTTATCATTAAACAATAATAAAATAAAGAACATAGAAAAATTCGCATTTACAAATCTAACATCATTAAATGAACTCGATTTATCAAACAATACACTTGAAAGTTTACCGGAAAATTGGATCGCGCCGCAAAATGTACTCAAAATTTTGAATGTAAATGGAAATTATTTTACAAATTTCAGTCAATTGAATCTTCATAATGCGCCAAATTTGGAAAAAATATTTCTTCATGACAATCCAATAGAGAATTTAAATATTATGTCATTTTTACATATTGAGAATCAATCGAAAAGTCGATTGGAAGAAAAAAAATTGGAAAATTAAAAATGAAAATGAAAACCACCGACAAAGTAAATTCAACAAGAGCGACAAATAATTTTTAAATAATAATTCTCAATGTATTGGCATTTATGTTAATTTATGTTAATTAATTTTAACAATGAGATTTTATTAAATTTTTAACTGTAATTTTAATTGAAATTGAATTAATATTTAATTCAATTTAATTCAATTTAATTCAATTTAATTCAATTTAATTCAATTTAATTCAATTCAATTCAATTCAATTTAATTCGATTTAATTTAATTTAATTCGATTTAATTCAATTTAATTCGATTTAATTTAATTCAATTTAATTTAATTCAATTTAATTTAATTCAATTCAATTCGATTTAATGAATATTTATTGAATATTTAATTCAATCTAATTAAATGTGTAAATAAAAGAAAAAAAAATTAGAATAAAAATTTTAAATTCAGATTCTACTCTTTAATTTACAGTATATTTTTAAATTGAATCGTTTTTAATTAAGGAACCAATTTTGTAAGCGCATTATAATAATTATTAATAAAATTTCGATTTGTTCACTCACCAAAGTAGGGTCAATGTTATCGCCAATATTTGCGTTCACGTCTGGAAATGTTGAAATCAGTGCCAAGCCTTAAATTTAAAAATAGGATCGAATTTTTAATCTGAAAAATAAAAAAAATATTTGTTGAACAATTTGAATTAAATAATTGGTTTATTTCTATTAATTGCTATTAATAACTAGTTAACTACTAACAAATAGACATAGGATAATATTAGATGTAAGAAGGAAATCAAAATAAAAAATGTACTTTTATAATTGAATAAAATTATTTCTTTTATGAGCGAATAAATATATTGACGCCAAATTCTAACTAAATACAATAAAAAATTTTTATTTAAAAATTTTTAAAAATTAAATCTAAATATAAAATTTAATTTTATCACTGGATAAAAGATAATATAAAATATCAAGGAAATTATCAATCCTCCAAAAGTCAAATAGTGAAATAAAAAACACAATTTTAACGTTTCGACAATTTTCTTAATTATTTTAAATAAATACCATCTTTCTCTGTAAATAAATAAATAAAATTAATGAATAAATTTTTCATACTAAAAAATGTTCTTTAATTCTCAATTTGTAAATTTCTAATGTAAAATAAAAAAGCAAAAAATATTTTACTCTCCCTTGAAAAAAAAAAAAAAAACAAGAACACCAGCGAAAATTCAGATATGAAAACATTAAATCGCCGCGCATTATAATTGAAATTCCAATGACATAAACGAAAGCAAGCGTAAATATATATCGCTATTTTGAATTGCGAAAGAGTTAAAATCAATGAATAATTAACGAGACGGTATAAAACAAAAGGACGCCAGGAAATTTTGATTGGAGACGACATATGTAAACGTAACGCGTAAATATGCAAATGTCATTTTGGACCTTTGGTTTAGGAGAGAACGTTCCTATAACTGAAACTTGAAACATTAATGCTTGGTCTTGCGAATGTTGCCAATATTGCCGGCGGGTCCATTGAAAATTATTCATAAACATGAGAGAAATACATGACGCAGGGGGAGATGTGACAGATTACAATATTGCTCTCTCTCCCTCCCTCCCTCTCTCTCGGTCAATGTAGCAACAAACACGAAATACCTTTCTCCCACATATACACATATTAATACATACATCCTTGGTTCAACGTGTTACGAGCGTATTACGCGTGTCGTTACCAACTCTGTCAATGACTGCCCACTGGTCACCATCAAAACGTTAATCCTGTTATTATGCGCAAAACCCATTTATGTTTCAAGTCTAGTCAACCGTCTGTTTTATTCCCCTGGTCAAACTATGGAATAAAAAATTGCATCTCATTTTTAATTATTAATTTCACTCTCTCTCTCTTTCTCTCTCTCTCTCTCTCTCTCTCTCTCTCTCTCTCTCTCCCGGTGGATGCGAATGAAAAACAATGTGCTTTTTTTTAAAAAAAATTAAAAGTAATAATCGGAGTCGACAAAAAAAACAAAAAAAAAATAGTTGCGAAGCAAAGTTTTGATACGTTTTTTGTCTCAATTTGATATCCTTAGAAAAACTGTGAGTAGGTAATAGATAAAAATAATAATAATAACAATAATAATAAATAATAAAAAAATTGTTATATTCTTCAACGCTGTTAATTGCCTAAAGAAAAACAATTCCCAAGAAAATTTCATTGTTCGCAAAAAATGTAAATTACCTTCTAGTTGAAAGAGATATTTTTTTTTGCAATTTTATTTAGATGTAGAGAATGAAATACCATAAACAGGTTCATAAAAAAACAGAAGAAGAAAAATCCCAAAATATACAAAAGGATAGGGCAATTTTTCTCGGATAATAAGGTAGTTTATAAGCCACATTAGAGTTTCGTAGAAAGAAAATGGAGTGGTTTTGAGAAACGGGCTAATGGTGCAACCAAGTTTAGTTGTCGGTACAACGAAATCGTTGGGCGGTAAAGGAAACTTGGTTTCGTAATACGGGAGGTCGAACACACTGGGGGCACTTTATATACACACAACATCTTCAACCGCGCTCCATTCTCCATTTCCCCATACACATTTTCATTATAATAATTAATTAAAAAATAATTATAATAAATAATTAAAAAATAATTATAATAAATAATTATAATTATTAACATTTTAATAAATTTATATTTACTAGGTGTACTTACGGAAAATCAGTTTTAACGTTCTGTCTGACTAAACTCGTCTTTTACTACTAATGTGAAAAAATCTGCATTTCAACATTGTGTCTGACTGAAAATTACCTTTACTACTAATGTTAAAATATTAATCAGCACTTTAACGTTTAGGTCTGACTAAAATTTCTTCGTACTACTGTCAGTAGAGGAAAATCATTTTTAACGTTTTGTCTGACTAAACTCGTCTTTTATTACTAATGCGAAAAAATCTGCATTTAAACGTTGTGTCTGACTAAAAATTGCCTTTACTACTAATGCTAAAATAATAATCAGCATTTCAACTTTTGGATCTGACTAAAATTCGTTTGTAGTACTGTCACTAAAAAATCGATTTTAACATTTCGTCTGACTAAACTGGTCTTTTACTACTAATGCGACAAAAAATCTGCATTTCAAAATTATGTCTGACTGAAAAATGCCTTTACTACTAATGCTAAAATATTCTGCTTCTCAAAGTTGTGTCTGACTAAAATAGCCTTTACTACTGTAGAAAAAATAATATACTTTTTAACGTTGTATTTAATTATTTACTCGCGATTTAAAATTGTAATAAATCACAAAAAATTTATTAGCAATTGGATTTTGTTATTATTATATTATTATAATAATAAAAAATATATAAATTAATAAAATGTGACACTTTCAAAAGAATATATAAATTTCTTAGTCAGGTATATAAACTTCTTTTTGGGTTGGAGATGAAAAAATTTAAATTCGTATATATAAATAATTTACAGAGGGAGAATAGAGGCGTAAACGTCGGCCTCGATTTGTAGTAACACGTCAACATTTTTTTATACCCTATGGCGACCATTCGTTGGATCAGCAGATCTAACTTGGGTCTACCTCGAATTCTCAGTTCCTCCCCAGGGAAAGACGAGGTCAGCACACCCGGTAACCACTAAACTAGGCGTCTAATAGTTCCTTCTCCGATGCCAAAGGGGACAATCATCAGTGGCTTGCTGCCCAACCTGAATCCATTTATCCGATAATGTGAAAATCGATCCGATTTCTGTTTATGTCCTATATTAGATTTTTTTCAAAATTGAAAATTATCAAAAAAATTATTATTTTTCAGTCAAAGTAGAAAATGACATTTGCTTCTTCATTGGAAGAAGGTAATATTTCTTGTTTACTTCTCTCTATACTTTATTTTAATAAATTGAAATTCTATGAATTAATTAAAATCTTCTATATTTGATAATAAGTATTGATTGATTTGCGTTTATTGAGTATTAGATGGCATTTTACTTATTGTATCATTTCAAGAGGCATTACTCATTCATTGACAAAGCACGTAGTTTCACTTGATAGGTGCATTGTATGTAATACCATATTTCGTGAGAAAGAACATTTTCCAATTTCGCTGTTCATTCATGCAAAAGTGAGTTTTACACTTCGACAATTCCGAATAAATATGCTATTTTTCTTCGTATAATGAAATCGAATATTATTCATCATACATCCACTTGTAAAATTTTAAAAAATGTACTCTTGTAAGTTTTTAAGAAACGCGTAAAAAAGTGTATAAATAAATTTGTCTAGTAGTAAAGGTCATGTTTAGTCAGACATAACTTTGAACTATAATTTCAGTAGTAATACCACTGGAACTGACAAGTATTAACAATACAGTATTACCAAAATTAAAGACCTTCGACTTTACAGTAGAACAGAATATTTTTAGTCAGACACCAAATTTTTTAAGTAGTATCAATTCAGTATAGTCAGACCTTATTAAATTTCCACAATTATATTATTATTATCAGGTAATATATACTTATACATTTTTATTATACGCTTATATAATTGTACAGAATATGGAAAAAAATAAAATATAATAAAAGATTTGAAAAATTTTCCAGTTCATTAATTGATTCTTAAATTATCAGATGTTTCTAAACATTTAAGTAGTAGAAGTCCAGATTTCAAAAACAAATTTTTAATTCGACTGAAATAAATTTGTATATTTTGCTGACACAGAAAATTATCAAACTAAAATTATTCTTGTTTTTTTAGAAAAAATCAATATTTTAAATTTGTACCTCTAGAGTCAAGATTTGAATATGTGCCGTTATAAACATTTAATGATGATTATTTTATAAAGAGTTAAATTTTAAAAAATTGATATATTTTAATATTTAAAAAATTTTTAAAATACTCACTTTTTAAAATAAAATTACCAATTTTAAAAATAATCGAACGTAAAAATTTCTAATTAAAATTTTTTTTTTATAAAAATAAAATATAAATTGAAATATAGTTTTAATGTTATTATAACTAGGTATAGTATCATATATTCTGACACAGGGAATTCAGGAAAAAGTTGAGGATTTTTATTAAAACTATTTAAAAAAATTCAATTTTTAGAATTCATGAGAAAATTCGAAATTTTTGGGTCTTTTT